ATATATATAAAATATCTATTAGAATAGAAATCCACCAGAACATTACAGGTGCCTGTAAGGCTGCTTGGATTGGAACTGGCAACCTGCTGTCCAAAACCAGTCTTTTTATTAAAGATGATGTGAAACCTAGGCCAAAGCTAGGTTGTCTTAACAACAGTCCTGTGCTTGGCAGATGGCTTTCCGCAGCACTGGGAACTTAGCTGACTGGCTTTTTGGTTTTGTAAGGTGCAGAAATATCTTTTGCCGGAGAGGAAGCATCCTTTGGTGCAAGGACTGTGAACCATAGCAAGAGTGTGGGGGTTCAAGGCAACTTGTCGTAAAGGGTCAGACTTTAATGCCACACTAGGAGGGGAACACAGGGACCCTTAAGCCAGCTGGTTTAGGCAGCTGGAGCTGTGCTGACACAGGATGTGCTTTCAAATGACTAAGCTTGAGTTCTTTCTTGACTCAGGCTTGCATGTTTTGGTAAACAATGCAACTGCTAAGCCCATCCTGATGGAAACAATCTAATCTTAACAATCTACTTCCCCGCTCTCTCCCCTACTGATGACGAATCTTCTTGGTGGCCTTTCAAAAAGAGAGATCATACATATGCAAAGTACTTCGTTTAACTACAGTTTATTGTAATTAGTCTGTAAAACTGTAGGAGAACATGAAAACAATAGGTGACAAATGGTGCTATTTGCAAGGGGCTTTGGGAATGCGAGGGCAAGGAGGAAATAATCTGCTAAAGTTCTTGCAAAGTCTTCCAGTTCCTGCTCCCAGTGCTGGCCCATCAAGGCCACCAAGCCAGCTCATTTTTTTATCTCCAGCTAACAGATAAAATGAAATAGTGAGAAAATAAACTATTGTCACCTTAAAGTGGAATCCACAGCTAATAACACTCTATACTGTTCTACATGTGCCCGCCGCGTTTGTCCACATTCAAGTATAATTCAGCCATGCTTTGTCCCTGAAAGGGACTTTATTTTGCATTTCTACCTCTTGTGGAAGGGAAGAACACACAAGGAATTTGAATAACTCGGATGGCAGTGAATGTTTGGTCCCCAAATAACTTACACATGTAAGTTGTGTCTGAAAAGCATTACTTTATCTCCTTGAACTCACTTACTTTTGCAGCACAACTTTCTTGGGCTCGGAGAGCAGCCAGGAGAGCTGGCAGTCGCATAACAGAGGATTTCCGTGCAAGTTGATGATGATGCTATCCGATGAATTGGTATTCCAAGGACTGAAGGAACTCAGGTTACAGCTACAAGATGACAAACGCAATAATTGGCAAACGCTGAGCTGCCTTCCAAGGACTGGACTGTGCTTAGTATCCCAGAGCATCTAAGACACAAAGCAATATTCCCAGTTCCCTTGGAAGCAGCCAGTTATCAACAGCACCATTCTGCACTTTAAAGTCCAGGCTAATACCTGCCCGTCTCTCTAATTTGCACAGTGTAGCTGCTGTGTGATAAAGCATAAAAGCATTGTAAGGGGATGGTAACTGGAAGGGAAAGGACCTAGCATTTGGCAAGACGATGATCTCCTCTCTGCCATCGTGCATTCAGCTACAATTTTCTTTACACTATGCCATTTCTCTGGTTTCTTTCTCCGTTTGCTTGTAGTGCCTTGACTTTCTCTATGCCAATCACCCTCTTCATGTTAATTGCCTCTCTCATAATATAGACTCTCACCTACTAAACTCAAATGACTAATACAGGAAGATCTTGCTTGCCTTTACTGTTAAGCTGTCCTAGCTGCAGAAAGAGTGTGATAATGTGCTCCCTGCAGTCTGAGCGCTCGGAAGATGCTCTCTTTTGTCTGTGACTTTAACTGCTACTCCTTTGTTTTTTAAGTTTGGGTCGTGATTTTTAGCGCTTTGAACTGGTATTCCTGACAGTATTGTGAAATGTGGTGTAAATTCAGTGTGGCAATCTAGTGGGGGATGGAATCTATTGGGATTTTTTTTGCTTAAATGGGTTTATTTTCCTGAAACTGGTTCCCAGAGCACAGCCAGTGCTCTAGTGTTTGTTTTCTGATATGCTTATAGTCCGGGCCTGTATTACAGAAATCTTTTAAGGTGCTCTCCAAATCTTTTCCTTTATGCTGACTGTTCTATATACAGTTTGCCTGCTCTTATTTTGATAAATCACTTTCAGACTTTTGTTTCCCTTAGTATTTCAACAGGTGTGTGACATACCAAGTAAATCACACTGAGGTGTTACCTCTAGATTAAGGCCTAAACCATTGCTTTTACTAATGCTGAACAAGGAATGATATTAATCTCTCACACTAAAAGTGGGAAGGACAGGATTTTTGACTGCTTCCAAGGTGCAGATTTTAGGAAACGGTCAGCATTCATCCTTTCTAGGGCAAGGAGGCCTCAGTGACCCGCTTCTCCTCTGGTGAGGCATTGCCATTGTAGATGTTGGAAACACGGTCTGTGTCTCAAGTGGGCTTCAGTGGGTCTGTGTTAATCTTAACAGTGCTAGAGGAATTCATCCATTGGACTGGGAGATAAGGCAGAAGTGTGGGAGCAGGTTGGATGCCATCTCAAGCAACCAGTAACTGTGCTATGAGTCTTATGCCACCTTTCTGGGCTGCATCAGCTCTTCTGCTCTATCAGGTCTACATCGCAGGCTTTACATGGCATATCTGAGTATAAGCGTTCCTCCATGGTACCCAAGCCCATCCCTCCTTCCCAAATATTTGATAACAAGCAAACTCTGCATAGAAATCAGCTCCCAGGCACCACGGTGCTGTGAGGCAAAGGCAATGTTGCGTGAGGGAGAACAAAAAAGAAAACAACTCACTTCTCAAACGAGAGACGGCTCAGATGAGGAGCACTGTCAAACATCTCTGTCCTCACGAAACCCAGTGAGCGGGAGTCTTGACAGTTCAGCTCTCGGAGACCAGGCATGGACTTGAAGAGGTCAGTATCGAGGCTTCTTAATCGTGACATCTTTGTCAGGTGAAGGGATCTGAGGTTGGGCAAGTCTCTGGTCCACTCTGGCTGAACTGAAGCGGAAAAAAAGATTTATACCCGTTGCCTAAATAGAGCATTCCTGTGGATTTCTGCCTAGAAAAAAGGTTTGGTTTCATAGAGATTTAAAATATCTCTGTGGTCTTCTGCCACTGTTCTCTTTGGGAAAGGAATAGAACAAAAATCAATACACCAGTGTATAAACACCCATGCACTCATGTTTTTGTAATATTGCCTGCAGGTCATGCTGTCGTAGGGCAGAGGGAGAGAAGGGAAGATAGAAGGGCAATAAAGCTGATAAGAGATACGGAATAGCTTTCCTATTAGGTGAGATTAAATGAACAAGGATTTCTCTGCTCAGAGAAGCGGTGGGTGGGGGGAGATTAGACAGGTCCACAAAGTCCTGACTGGTGTGAGAAAGGCAAATAACTTTGCATTTCACCTCACACAGGAAAAAGAGCTGAGGGGCGTGAAACTGGAAGAATAGGTCTTATGCAGAAGTGCCCTGCCATCCCACGACTGACTTGTGTAACTCACTAGCACAAGAGAGATTAGGCAAATGCGTGGAGGAAGCGTGGTGGTGTGTCTGTTAGATGTGCATTGAGGTGAAACCTCTACCTTGAGGAGTCCCTGAGGTCCCGGCTGAGAGCAGCTGGGCATGGCATCTGACATCTGCCCGCCTCAGCACCTCAGTTACAAACTGAGGCTGGCAGGGGAGGCAGACAAATGAAAAAAAAAAAAATCATGCTGTAAATCGCTCAGGGCAGGGATTGTCTCCCTGTGCGGAAGTATTTGGCCGGTTGCGGTTGACACAAAAGGCCTCTCTCTGTGCTACTTCAATACAGTGGTATAAAGCAGAGTGTAACTGTGGCGATAGACAAAGAAAGATTTCAGCAGCGTGTCTGGAAAGGGATTTCCTCCTGTGTGTCCCAAAGCTAATCTCAGGGCTGACAGTGGAATTGGGATGGAGGTGGGGGACTGCAGTGGGACAAGCAGTCCCGTTCGGTGATGTCCGTTCCCTGCCCTTCCTTCGGCAGGCTGGTCTGCGTGAGGGTTTCCCCCCGCAGCTGCACCACAGCTGGCAAGTGCATTGCACGCTTGGACCAGCTGTTCGTGGCTTTCAGCGTGGGGTGTTCCCCCTCCACCCCAGGCTCAGCCAGGGTGGGAGCCATCGTCCCAGCAAGGCTTCTGCTCGCCCCAGCCTGACCAAGTCCCGTGTTTACAGTAGGAAATTCAGAAACTTACTTTTCTCAAGGAAGGTCCCGCTCAGATCAAGCACGTTGATGGTGTTTGCAGGCCTGTTCGTGGCCTCACTGGGAGATGGGCTGATGGCAAAAGCAGACTCCCTAATTCCTCTGCTGTCATCCTGCCCGAGCAGCGTTGCAGAGAGGTTCAGGAACTGTAGCTGAGGGTAACAGGAAAAAGCCAGTGGCTGGATTTCAATCAGTGGATTTCCAGCCAGGGACAACCACCTCAAATTAGGCAGGGCAGAGCTGTGGCATGATGGCACAGACGACAGCTTATTAAAGCTTAAGTCCAGGGAGAGGAGACTGCTGAGGACTGCAGATCCCCATCTAACTGCCTGGAGATGGTTCTGCCTCAGCGCGAGCTTGTGCAGCCGTGGGAGGTTCGCTATCTCCGTGCCGTTCACCTCCTCTAAGAGGTTGTTGCTGAGATCCAAGGTTTCCAGGGCCTCCGGAAGGCAGACGGGGAACGCTGTCAGGCTGCTGTTGGTCAGCTGCAGGGTGACCCTTTCCGATCCTCACAGGACATGCTGGTGAGATTAACGTTCTCCCAAGAGTCTTCCTGAGCCAGCTGGAAAAAGGTGGTGATGTCCCTGGATGCTGCAGGCTCTGCTCTGCTCACCGGGCCCGACGCTGTGTTCGCCACCAGCAGAGAGAGGATGAGCAAGCGTGAAAACATCCTTCTCCTAAGTGGCTTGCAATTAACTTGCAAAATCTGGTTTTTTGTTTTGGGGAGGGGAAAACAGAATGTCAGCATTAAGAACTAAATGAACTCCTTCCAGGCAGCTACAAGCTTTTGAAAAGTGAAACATTTGGCAGTCCTTTCCTATTGCATCCAGACAGCAGAAGTGAGGATTAATGTCTCTTCTGTAATTAAGCCTAAGTAAACATGAACCCTTGGGGACAGAAGTATCACACAATCTTAGTCTAAGCATACCTACAGTTTTTCATGCAGAAAGCAACCAAGTTGTATCGTGTGTCTGGTTCCCACGCCAGTTCCCTCAATACCAGTCCGGCACCCAGAGCAGCAGCAGCAGCGTAGGAGGTGGGCTCCCCAGTCTCCCTGCTCGGCTGCCTCTGTGCTGTACGGGGGTATGAGGGAGTGCCCGTGCTACTCCAGTACAAAAATACCAGTTGGTACTATGCTGGACGAGCTGCAGGAGAAGGATATTGCCATGTTATGGGACTTGAATTTATACCCGATTGTGTGTTGCTCTCCACAGGGCTGTCCTGCTGCACGGTGTCCAGTTTGGCCAGCCCGCTGGGAAGAGTTATCTAATGGGATGATACCCAAGCAACAGGGCTAGGGTCAGGTGTGAGCATGGCAAGGGTTTTTTTTTGTTTGTTTGTTTGTTTTTTCTGTGAGGTTGTCTGTCCAAAGCAAATGTATGGATCCGAAGGCAGGGGAGGGTTGTCAAACATTAAAAGGACGTAGGAGCCCAAACTGGGCTGAGCTGAGCTGCGATGGGGTGGGCAGGTAAAAGTGCCTTTCCTATGCTAGGAAGGGCTTTCCTTCCCTTAGCAGAAGTTGAAACAGCAAAAGCCCCGGGCTCGCGTGGGCTCTGCCAGGGCAGTTCTGCCCCGATCTGAGTGACAGCCACGGTGGGGACCCCAAAGGCACTTTGGGACTCGCCCTCCTCCTCTGCTCCTGACCCGCTGGCAGTGCCCCGGAGCCCGGCGGTGGCAGGGCTGGGGCCCTGCTGCAGGTGAGTGCCTGGGGCACGGGATGCACTCCAGCTGCTGGGGAAAGCAGATCCTGAACATGCAGCTCCTGAACCACATTTCCGTCAAAGTGGTCAGGAACGGAGAGCGTGCTCCTGTGTCAGGGCCCCAAAGGGCTGGGTACCAAGGAGCATGCTATTCAGTGTTACAGTTCCCTGTCTGCTCCCTCCTCATCCCGCCCCAGCTTTGTCTTTGTCATTTAAAAAAAAAAAAAAGAAAGGAAAAAAGTCCTAAATGACTTGTCCAAGGCTGTGCAGGTAATCTGTGTCAGAGGAGGGAATTAACTACAGCCCAGAACTAGTGCTTTTCTTACTGAGCCGTCTTTTGTGCTGCCAGGCATCGTAATGATCATTCCTCATCCAAAAATATATCACAGTGTAGGAGGGTGACTGAAGCCCCATGTGGTATGAAATTTCTCAGATTTATTCCAAACCTTTATAGCTACTTGCTGTTCCCCGAGTGGTGCCAGGTCTTGCCCAGACCGTCATCTGTTGCTGCCATCCCAGGTTTGAAGTAGGGACCGGCCAAATAGTATAATTTGGTTGCCTGTGTCCTTTTTGTCATCTGGAACCAGGCAAGAGCTGAGCAGCCTCGGCTTCCTGGTCACGGGAGCTGCTGGATTCCCAGCACACGGCAGGGAGAGGATGGGAGGAATGGGACTGCTGGATCCCGATTTTAGATTTAATCTTAGTCTCTGGCTCTAAACCGCATCCGCTCGCACGTACCTGTCCAGAAGTCCTGATGCCTTGTGCCTCCGCTCTGTGTGGTTCCAGTTGCCTGGCCTTGATTTTATACACTTGGTGACTCAGCCGAGAGCGTGAAATGCCTCCTTTCTGTTCCCAGCTTTCCCTGCTCACGGCTCTGCCCACAAGCACAGGCGAGGTTTGTTCCAGGCTCACTCCCCCGCATCCAGCTTTCTCCTGCCTGGAGAGGGGGTGGCTCCAGGCAGCTCTCCCGCTCCCTGGGCCCGAGCAGGAGGTGGGTGGGAGGGCTCTGATTTCCCAACACTCAGGCAGGACTGCTCCGTCTGTCTAAGCAGAGGGGGGTAAAGGGAAGAGATCAGTGCCTGTAGTCCCAACTCTCACGTCTTCCACTGGTGGGGGGAAGGGAGGGGAAATCATTGTGTTTCTTTGCTGACAGGTCATGATGATGTAAAGCTAGGGCTCTGTCTGCTGACATGGGCTTGGGTCGCTCTCTAGGTGCCAGTAAAAGGCTTCAAGTGTTTTTATTTCTCCCTAGGACTCCTGCACTTGGGAGTAAATCCTGGAAATGTTCACACAGGACAAATGACTTTGCTAAGGAGGCCCTTGGGAAATGTCAAAAGCAAAGCTCTCACCTGCTGTGCCTGCAGAGAGGAATTCTCTTGGCCGATGGAGAGGGCCTGCGGCATCTCGTGCTGCGCGTGACTGACTTGGGAGGCCTCTCCCGGTCCCGCTGTGTGTGGGTTGTGTTCTCTGTTCTGCGTCTGCCGTACCGCGTGGCTTGGGAGAATTCCCATTCAGCTCCTTCTCTCATCTTTTGCTGGATAAGTAAGACTGGCAGGGTAAAACATCTCCCACCAAGGGACCTGCCCTGAGCTGGGTTTCTCAGCATTCCCAGAATTCAAATAATGAGGCTGATCAAGGGCTGAGAATAAAGCCAGGAACTGGAAAGTGATGAATTGGTAGAGATTGTTCCAAAGTAAAAGCAAGAGGGTGGTTGTTCAGCTGCTACTATAAGACAATTAAGGATTAAAATTTCCAGGGAGAACAGTAGTCAATGCTTTTCATTTGTCAGGACACCAAAACAGATCCATGACACGAAGGCAACACAGACCTGTATGCTTTGGTGCTAAAGTGCAGATAAAGGTCTTGCTTTCCCAAAACCCTTGAGTCTGCATGTACGCAGACCTTATCTATTGACCGTGTCATTCATTATCTGTGTGGGGAGAGAGCCTTGAAAAACACCAGAACATCCACAGAACAAGATACCGTCTTTTAGTAGGACTCTCTGGAGCCATTGCGGTTCCCTTGGAGGCTGGGCGAGATGTACATGTTGTTCCTGTGTGGAATGGCTCTAAAGCAAGGCAAATAGTTTCCTAAATGAGGGGCTAATCCTACAGATTAACCCCGGTGGAGCAGCTCGCAGGCCTGCGCTTAGGGCAGCGTGCAGGCCGGGCACGTGTGCGCTAACAGGTACCATCAGAGATCTGCACTCTCCTAGGTTCAAAGGGCAAATTGGAGCAGGCTAAAAAAATCTGAAGAATTTGGTGTAATAGGAGGAAAGGCCAGGCCCTGCCAGGCCGGTGGAAACCCTGCCTTCCCTTTGGCTTTGCAGACCTGCGGGCTGCGAAGCTCCTCTTTGAGACAAGCTGGGGAGCGGGGATGTGGCATCGCTTTGCGGTGGGCTATGAAGTACCCGCGTTGTGTTTGCTGCCGTTAGCTCAGGATTTACAGAGGGTGAATTTTCATTGGTTATTGTATTGTTTTTAATCTCTTAAAAAGACTACTCCCTGAAACCTGGGGAGGCAAATGCTGCCTTACTTTTAATGTGTTCAACGTTTCTGACTTCGTTTCGGAGACTGAGACGAGCAGCCGCGTAGGACTGGCCAAGCAGCCCAACCGTTAAGTTTGGAAGTGGGCCGCTCATTTCAGTGAAGGTGGGAGGGAGGTGAGCCTTTGCCCAGAGGCCCTTGATTTCCGAGTGATACGGAGAACCTCTCGCAAGAAGCAGAACACCCTTGGAAAACGAGCTTTTGTTATTTTTATTTTCCGCCTTTGCTTCTGCTCTTCGGATGCCGGGTTTGTGAGGCAGGTGTTGTATTTTCCCAGCTCTTTGCCTAGCTGCAAACTCTAATCATCTGGAATATTACTGCTATTGTTATCCCAAACTGATGCTGCTATAGAATGTCCATTGTAAAGCCCTACCCTATCTATGCTTTTGTTTGCTTAATGGATTGTTAATGACAAATTGTCCAGGAATGGGACACAACGTGATGTATTATTGTCTTCACTAGTAAACTTTGAAGAGATACTAAGGATCTGCCAAGAAGGAAAGTAGGGGAAAGGTAATTTCAGCAGGGGGAGATTGCAACCACTGACTCAATTAAAAAGGAGGAGATTGCGGCCACCGACTCAACTAAAAAGTAGAAAGACTACCTCCCCACTCTCCTTGAGCATGCGTAGTAAGTTAAAATCATACTGTACTTTCAAGTGAAGAAGGTATGAACCAGTATGAGACAAGCATGCTTAGCTAATGTAATGATTATGTAGTAGGTAGGTGTGGTGTGTTAACTGTAATGTGTAAAAGTTAGAGAAAACTTTGGTAGGTGTGCTAGCTTTGTGGAATTACCACCTAGCACCCATCTCTGCACAGAAATGAAAAAAACCCCAATATCTCATCTCAGTGGGTGAAGATTGGCTTATTGCACAGCGGGTGAACGAGCCCTGTTTGGGACCCCACTATGGTACTCCATCTCATACAGCTGCCCAGGTATTGGTGAAGGTTCCCCAGAGCAGACAGCAGCCCTTGCTCACCAGTTTCTTTGAAATTGTGTGGTAGCAGCAGGCAGAGATTTCCTCTCTGTGAGTCACTTTGGCCTGTTCTCATGTTGCTGTGTTTCGTCACGGTCGTCGTCTTTTTTTCTACTTTTCCAAGAATTTCAGTGGCAACCTGGGGGACTGTTTAGTAAAGGCAGGCATTTTTGTCAGCCTTTTCACATGGATGATGCACAAAGAACTGAGCCAGACCAGACACGGCCCCCTCCCCGGACCTGATTCAGTGCTGCACAAAACCCCTCTGCCTGCAGGGTGCTAGGGGTGAGCCCTGCATTCCTTAGTGACACTGAGATAAGCAGGAGAAGGCGAGGATGGTACCAGGTTGCAAAGTTTAAGAGATGAATGTTTCTGACTGGCCGTCGTCCAAGTGATGGTTAAGAATGAAACTATGCTGAAAAAATCTGGAGAATGGCTTTTAAGG